TTACCTTCAAGCCTTTAAGACCCCAGACGCTATACTTTTTGATAGCCAGGCACCATCAGCTTTCTTCGCCACATTTGCTTATGCACCCCAACAAGGCTTTCTTACATTCCCAGTTGAGCCCCACAGCAGCTGCCTGAGCTACTCTGTTCGGTTCTACAAGTCTTTAAAAAATAAAATGGGCTATGATGACATGATAGGTTATACAATCCCTCCGACGTCTGCAAATGTCCTTGTGTTCATGGTCAAAATCAAGTAAAAATGAATAAGGTCATTTTCAAGGTCAGAAAGCTGATGTTTAGCAACGGCGGTGAGGCTCATGTAGGAGCAGGCAGTGTTGTGTCATTATGAATCGGAACCAACATGGCAGCACGCAGCACACAACAGCCATCGGAATTGTGAGACAATAAATGTTTATTGCTTAAAAAACAAACAAAAGAGCTAACATGTGAAGCTATTATTGGTAGTAATAGGTATTATTAGAAGCTTCAGTGGTGTTGTGGGTGAGGCATTTGGCTACTAACCACCAGATTGGCAGTTCAAATCTACCAGCCACTCCCAGGGAAGAAAAATGAGGCTACCTGCTGCCATAAAACTGTACAGAAACCCTGTATGAGGTCACCATGGATTGGAATTGCTTGGTGGGGGTCAGTTTGGTTTGGGTGGGTTTAATAGCTATTAGCAGCAATGACATAATTATCAGTAACTATAAAGGAGCCCTGGTGGTGTAATGTTGATGAGTTGGGCTACCAACCGGAAAGTCAGCAGTTTGAAACCAACCACCGGCAGGAGAAAGACGGGACTTCAAGAGTCACAGACTTCGAAACTCACGGGGGCAGTTCCAACCTGTCCCACAAGTGTTGCGATGAGTGCTCATCAACTCAATGGCCGTGAGTTTGGTTTCGAACAGCAGTGAACACTGAGCAATTAAGAGTCCTTCATTAAGTAGTCAATACACATCCTCCCTTTGGATTTACAAAAGATTAAAATAACTTTCCCAAGCACAAAGCTAATAAGTAACTCAAACTCAGCCTCCCTTTTGGATCTGTCAGCCCAGGGCTTGTCTCTGTATCTCCCAGCTCTGGACTGATGAAGGGTTTCCCAGATGCAGAGGAAGGTTTCCCATTTCCCTTCTGAGGTAG